CAAGAAGCAGGATGAACAATAAAATAATCCACAGCCCCATCGGATACGGGGGGGGGGCAATTCTGCGCTTTTGGTAAGAGAAGCGCAGCTTAAGTTAATTTTTTCAGCCAACGTACGTCGAAAAGAAGAACAGAGAAAGAGGGAAATCACGTGTAGCACCTGAAACATCCAAGGATTGCGAACTAAGGACAAAGAGGTGATAGAGGAATTTAAGAGGATGAATCTTGATATTTTAGTAACAACTAAGACCAAGAAAAAGGGAAATGATACACAATATGTAGATGACATCTTTTACTGTTGGAGATGGAAAAAGAAGGAAGAAAGAGCAGCTGCCGGATTATGGATACTAATCAAGAAAAAATGGGTAAAAACAATAAAAACATGGGAACCCATAAATGAACGAATAGTAAAACTCATCATGGAAATCTATGACAGGCAAATCGTGATACTGGGAGTATAAGGCCCTACAGATAACAGTCTGGTAGCAGAAAAGGATCAGTTCATGTCTACCTTACAAGAAGAGATCGGAAAAGTGAGACCAACACAAGAAATAATAATAGCAGGGGACCTAAATGGAAGAACAGGGAAACGACAAAATGATAGCATGATAGACCGTTTTGGAGAAGATGTGACAAACGATAATGGGGAAAGACTAATTGACCTGTGCGAACTGAACAATCTGAAAATTACTAACAGCTTTTTCAGACATAAGGATATACATAAATACACGTATGTACAAACAACGAAAAACATCAGATCCATTATCCATTACATAATTGTCAGCAAAAGTAGTACTATCAAAATTAGAAATACCGAGTAAAGAGAGGGGCCGAATGTGGCACTGACCACCGATTAATAATTTCACAAATGGGGTTTCCCTACACGTTGAACACCCAAACTAGAAGGAAGAAAGAACACAAAGAAGACCAAGTAGAAAATGAACAGAAAGAAGAAGAAATGACGTTCAACATAAATTTACTTCAAGAGGAATCCATAAGGGACCTATACCAAACAAGACTAAACCAGAAGTTACAGGATTTCGGTTTCAGAAACGTCAAAGAAACGTACGAGCACGTCAAATACATCATAAAAAAGGCGGCATTAGAAGCTTTGGGAAACTATAGAGCTTGGGAAACTTGAGAAAAGAGATACCCAACACAAAGTAAAAATAAACAAAGAAACCAAAAAATGTATTGAGGAGAAGAAAACTCTGTATATGAAAAGTATGAGCACCCAATCCCCAGAAGACATACAGAAGTACAAAGAGAAAAACAGAGAAGTAAAACAAAGAAGGGCAAAAGAAAAGACTGAAGAGAAGAAACATACGCGCAAATTAAACAATACATAGGAGGAACAAGAAATTCAGAATTCTGGAAAATACTGAAATCTTTAAGGAAAAATAACAACGAAAAGGTCCAAATACAATACATATCAGAAAAAGAGTGGGAAGACTACTATAAAGAACAACTCACAGAAAACCGCCCAGATTTCATAGAGACAGACACAGAACATGACCAACAACAAAGTCAGAGAGAAAGAACAAAAAATCAGAGGGACCAGGAGGAATCGTTAATGAACTAATTAAGTACGGAACGGAACTACACAGAATTATGCACGAAACGTTCAGTAACGCTATAAACCTGAACGAAATACCAGATGAATTGTCCAAAGCATATATAACCTCGATACATAAAAATGGAGATAAGAAGAAATACCAGAAGTACAGAGGCATTCGTGTAATAGCATGTATGGGCAGGTTATATGGAAAAATACTGAAAGAAAAACTGGAAAAATCTATTTCAAATAAAATCGGAGAAGATCAGGCGGGGTTTAAGGCAGGAAGACCCTGCATAGACCACATATATACACTCCAACAAGTAATTGAAATAAAATGGCAAAAAATAAATCAGTACACATGTCATTCATAGATTTAAAAAAGCATATGACAGGGTTCCCAGAAAACAACTATGGAACACGATGAATGAAATCGGAATAACTCAGAGGTTAATAAAAGCCGTAAAAAACCTTTACAACAACAACGAGGTAAGAGTTAAAACCGGCAATAAATACTCCAACGAATTTAAGACCACAAAAGACTTATTGCAAGGATACTCTACATCTCCGACACTGTTCAAGATATTCCTCGAACAGATATTAAAATTATGGAAAAGGAAATGTGAAGTGATAGGAATACCAATCCCGGACAACTTCTTGTACACATTAAGCTTTGTAGATGACCAAGTGGTAACGGCCCAAGATGAAGAAGATCTGTGCTATATGCTCTGAAAATTAGAAAAGGAATACACACAAAATGGACTGAAAATAAACCTAGAAAAGACCGAATATTTAACAACAGATCAAGAACCAGTGAAAAACCAAAATCACAGCAACTGAAATGAAGTTCATGAGAAGAAGCTGAAGAGTGACAAAAATAGATCGCATAAGAAATGAGGAGATAAAACAAAGAGTGGAAATAGAACAAGACATACTCAGCTACATCGAAGAAAAACGTTTAATTTGATATGGACATGTGAGAAGAGCAGATCATACAAGGTGGATAGCAAAGATTACGGATTTAAGCCCAATAGGAAGGAGGAAAAGAGATAAACCTCGAAGATCATGGAGGGATGAAGTGGACGAGGCAATGGAAAGACGAGACCTTAGAGATGAAGAATGGCAGAACAGAAAGGACTGGAGACGTTGGCTGAAAGAAAGAAGGCGGTAACAGCTGTAAAAATACTTATATAGATAGGTAGATATTGCATGTCCTTCTTATGTTTTAGCTTTTCTCCCTATCCAACAAACTTTTCCCAAATATTTGTATCGAAAGTTTTTTCATCTCTGTTGTTTCTAGTAGTCGTCTCGTTTTATTGTTGTTTTATTTTTGTTATAGTGTTGTTTTTTTCAGGTCTTGTCTCCGCCGTGTATGTTAATATAGGTCCAATTGCTGCTTAATAGATTCTTGTTTTTGTGTCTTGTCTTAGGTGTTTGTTCTTCTAGATTGTGTCATTAAGAGATCCCGCTGCTTTACTTGCTTTTAAGCTTTGTTATCGTACTTCTTTAAAATCTACGTAACTAGTTATATCTATTCCCTTGATATGGAGAAGAAAAAAATTAGGAAGAAGGGAAGAAAATGTGTTAAAATATATTAAACTACTAGTACACTTTCAAGTTGCTAATTGCAATTCAATCTTCATCCAGCTTTATATTTATTCTTGTAACAGCATCCCCTTGGCAGATTAAATCCAGTTTTATAAATACATTCATCTGTAACTTGCCTTAGAATATTATTCTGATCTTTGTTGCAATCTTTTATTCGTATTTTTCTATTCTTATCAGAAACTACTTTTGGACGACCCGGGTTTTTATCTTTTTTATCTAAGATACTTCATGTTTACTCATATTGCTCAATTATGTTGCAGACTGTGGTTTTAGAAATATTAATTTCATCCAATACTTTAACGGTTGTTTTATTAACGAATTACCTACAATTGCAGAATATAGTTTGACGTTTGTTAGAGTGTCCGGCTGCATTGTTTTCGCAGTCTAATTATCTTATCTTGTCTGGTTTTTAGCATTTTCTTCATACAGTGCCATTATTTATTTGTAATTAATCTTTAAATATTTTGATGCTCCTTATTTAATACTTATTAGATTATCAAAATTATTAAACAAATAATAAATTATTAGTCAAACGCCTAAATTTGAGACATATTTTAATTTGTCCCATTTTATAGTTGTTGAGAATCGTGTTGCTTTTACTAATACTAATACCAAAAAACAAAATACTAATGGAAAACTAAAAAACACAAGTATAGTAAACACAGAAATAAGGTATCAAGATTGTGAGCCAAAATTTAGCCAATATTGTGGTGTACAGGTACAGAAATAAATAAAGATGAAAGTAAGACATTGAAAATACAATAAAAATTTTATGAAGACAAAATTGGCTTAAAAACGACAAGAAAACTGATAATAGTAACATGCCTGCTGGAACTTAAGGCCGAGACTAACAAGGAAAAAGTATGCACTATATTTATATGGAAACTGTTTCAGAACCTTATCAAGGAGACAGTAATTGGGGTAATCTTCGCAAAAACCCCATATGTCAGCTTTTTTAGGAAATGGATTTACGCCATCTATAGATTGAAGAACTAATTACCTACGTTCCCTGCGTAAGAAAATTCCATTAAAACCACAGTAGTCCAAGATATAAACGACAAAAATATTAGGCTATTCTGTATATGTCAATATCGCAGTTGTCAATGACTAAAACTTGAGAAAAATTGACATTGATCAGCTTCAATAATTAATTTTGCATAAACTATTGGGTCAAATTTAATGTAACATACCTCATATTAAAGCTTTTTTTCATATATTTTCATAATATTTTACCCTAAATTGTTAATTTGTTATAATAAAAATAATCAAAAACACCATTTTTTGCATCTTAAAAAGGCCATAAGATAATTTTATAATTTACAGTTTGAAGTTGCAAACACTTGTAGGTTACTCCAGGCATTGCCCTTCATAATGCTGTGCTGGTTTCAAAATATTCACTAATTAATACTCAAAATCATTAATTTTTGTCTCTACAGCTTGAAATACATGCTAAATAAACATAATAATAAGCGCAAAAATAAGTAATAATCACAAAATCGAAGAAAGGAAAAATGTTTGACTTAGCTAATAGGCAGAGCTAAAAAATAATACCTATATTATAAATAATATTTCTATTTATCATTTATATCTTTTTTGTCTTTTTTTACCTTCAACTTTTTTTTTCTTTTAATGATATTTTCCCAGTATCTCAAATAGTTTTTAATTGAATATGCTATTTTAAATTTCTTCTACTTGTTGTAAACCGTGTTTTATATCATAATTTAATCTTTTTTCACAAACCTAATAAACTACTATAGTTTTAAAATTTTTTCTAAAATTATCAGTTTTTGGTGTACAGACGTTCTGGTTTACCAAAAAATAAAATTATTACCACTTACCGAATACTCGTCTTCTTTATCTTTTACTGCCTCAAAAATATCGTTAAGAGCTCTAATCATGATTCCTGGAGTCGATCTAGTGCCCACCATAGTATGAGTTTTGCCTGCCCCCGTCGGTCCATATGCAAATACAGTTCCATTATATCTAAAACATAATAATTATTAAAGGCTGAAACAGTTCAATTGTAAGAACTAATAATAGGTTTATTTTTAAAGTTTAGTAGTAAACAATAATTTTCAAATAGGACCATTACAAATAACAATAAAACTTTTTGTAAGAAATGTACTAATTAATACTAATAAAAACATATAGACCAGGGAAATTAAAATTTTCCGACACTAACTGATAGGTACAGATATCTATACTTTGTCTCAAAGTGACTAGTCTGTACATGGTAAGATATGCAATGCTAACCGTATGGGAATTTCGCCCAGATATTGCCAGTTTTATGCAGTGAGCGATGGAGTTCTCTATTGTCTGTCTTTTAGAATAAACGGAATAAACCAGGAGTTCTCAACAAGTCCTTACGTACAATTTTATGTAATTCACAATTATGATTTGCTAATAATTTTACATAATACTATATATTATTTGTTTCTAATAGTAACTTATCAATTTTTATCTTTTATTAGTAGCAGTCGTATAATAAAATGTGCATTGATACATCCAGGGCCTTAATTAGTCTTTATTTGTTCTTCGGAGCGCGTAAACATATTCGAGTTACGATTATTTGTACCATCTTCTGGATGTACTGTTACTGTTTTGTTATTGTTGATTTTCTGTTGTTGGCTATTGTTATATTTGACGCCGAATTTTTACCGCAAAATGGAGTAAATTGTTCAATGGAAACGTGGAAAAGCTCTGAAACTTTCAGAGAAGCAGATACTAATGAATATTATTAATTATCATCTTAATCAGGATAACAACGATTCTGTATCAAGTGTAAAATGTCAGAAATGAGTGGTGTTTGCGAAAAGACTCTGTTTCGAATACGAAGGAATATTCATCACCTGCTGGATTACAATCTCCAAAGAGCAGGCCCAAGAAGCGAAAGGTTCTTGGGCCTGCCTGACAACATACCACCAACAATAAACACCATATTAGCTGTTGTAAATGTTGAAGAAACTTTGCTCCAACTTTTCACGGACCACGCTACATCGTTTGCTGAGTGATATGATTTTTGTGTTTATAAAACGTGGCAGAAATTCAATTTTGATTGAAAAAACCAGAAATCATCTCGTGGCGTCATCGTTATTTACGCGCAATTCGAAAATACCGTGCAGAAGGATACAACATAGTGTATTTGGATGAATCATGGGTAAATATCGGGCACAGTGTGTAAAAAGAATGGGTTGATAAAACAATTACATCTCATCGCAATGCTTTTGTTCGTGGTCTGACAATAGGATTTAAAGCTCCAACAGCTCGTGGTGCACGGTTCGTTTTATTGCACGCAGGATCTACCAGTGGATTTGTTGATGGAGCAGAGCTCACGTTTTTGACAAAGACAAATATTCAGGACTATCACGACGAAATGGATAGACCGACCTTTGAAGATTGGTTCGAAAATAACTTAATGCTAAATTTGCCAGAAAAAACTGTTGTGGTAATGGACAATGCCAGCTATCACAGCAGAAAGTCAGAACAAATTCTCAACAGTTCAACACTAAAAAAAGATATTCAAGAATGGCTTCTGTCAAAGGACCTATTTTTTAAAGAAGACTAGCTACCTAAGAAGACAGAAAAAGGAACTAAATATAATGGTATAAAATAACGATTACTTACACACGAAATTAAATACAATGTCTTTTATTTTCAACTTATTTATTAGTTCTATTTTCGGATATTTCTACGTTTTGTTACTGCCAACATATACAGTGCGGTTTTTAAAAGTCCTTCCCCCCTTAACTTTTGAACGGAACAATACATAAATAAAATGTTTCTTTGTATTTTAGTTTTATTTTGTTCGATTTCATTTAAATCTATAAACAAATGCTTTGTATCGCTAGCTACATACTGTAGAATTAAAAACAAACTGCTTGTGTGACATAAATAAAAGGCATTTCTTAATTTATATTTTATTTAATTTAACCCAAGTATGTTGTAGCAAATATTATTTATGTTTGAAAACCACTGACAGAAGAAAGCCAGGCAGGGTCGTTAGTGGGCATTAGTACTTAAGCTACCCTCAACACAAAAGATGGATTAGGCTAAGTAGTAAGAAGTGACGTTTATTTTAATACAAGTTTGCAAAGAAGTATGGCATCGATGTTGTGCATTTAACCTGTACAGACTAGTCACTTTGAGACAATCTATAGGAATTATTATTAGTAAATTTAGTTAGTATATGATAGATAGAATATAGAAAAAAATTTCTATAATTTTTTACTGATAAATAAGATACAATCAAATTAGAACCTCAATAAGAGTTAAAGGTTGTAAGATAATGCCAGTAAATTCTATTAATGCAAAAACCTTTAGTTTGAGAGTTTTGTAAGTCATGTTTATTAATTTGTTGTTTAACGTTTAATGTTAAAAAGTTTAATGTTTTGTGAAAGTTTCGAAAATGTCGTTTATTTTCCTGGAAGCCGTCTGCTATAGATCAGTCGTACTTCAGCTCAGTGGCTTATTTTACATCTTCCAATTCTTTGTGATACCCATTGAAGGATTCTGGATCATTAATATATCAAGTATATATCAAGTTTACATAAAACAGTACCATTGTATTTAGTTGTCACTAAACTGACGCATGTCTAGTAAAGAAGCCTGTTATGACTTTGAGCTGAGTCCTGCTTGTTTTCCACAGTACTTCAGCCCTATTTACCGGGCCTATTTTCCCAGTGTGAATTGTGTTAGCTTTGGATCCAGAATTTTTTGGGGCTTTTTGACATTCCCACGACCAGCTCGGTGTACGACGACGGACCTTCCAGTGTAACACAATTATATGTCGGCAGTCAATCAAGTTCGTGTCGGCATACCCACACTAGACCGTCGAAGGTCTTATGAAAACTCCCATGGCTGCTTGGTCATCTGAGAATATATTAATCCGCTTCAGTTCAAAAGTTCTCATGATAGTTTCGTTTGCACCCTGCAAGATTGCAAACATCTCCTCCAAACCTAGTTTTCTGTGGTTAAACCCCCTAGTGAGCAAATGTTCACTTGGACAGGTACTTTAGGCTTGTATCTGGGTACCGTATGGTCAGAAAATCATCATTCATTCATTAGACATCCCTATTTTAATTTATTATGTTACTAGGTCTTGATCTAACCGGTACGCTGTTCAGGTTTTCTCTCAGTCTATAATACCCCACGCTTAAAGGAAAAAGATATGGTAAGGCATTAGGGCCTACATAGCTACTGTTGGTGTACCTCTCATAGCCCCTGTGATTTCGTTTGAATATTTAATTTTTGATGTAATTATGGGTCTTACCAAAATGTTATCAATCAAATATAATATTCTGGTGTTAAAACTTATATTTTCTAATTCGTACAACTACTGATTACAAGTAAGCCTCAAATCTAATACTACCACAAGAAACTTAACTTCAATCACCAGATTTAAATGTGTACCATTTAGGCTTAGAGGATCCTATCCCTCTAAATTCCTTCTTTTGGCAAATTTTATTGGATTTCGGCCTATGGCCTAGGCCTAAAGGCCTATGTTAAGTCCATTCTGTAACTACAGTCAGAGCACTATATATCTGACTGTACCAATGAATTCCCATCCCCATGGCCCAGAACATGATGCTTGTCGATGTTGAGTCTAGCTATTAGACCATCCATGACCAGATTCTACAATACAGGAGATAAAACTCCCCTCCAGACAACCTCTGGCTACTCGTGCTGACAATGTATCCCCCTTCAACGTTGCGTGTATCACACGGCTCCTCCATATACTGTCTATCCATCTGCAGCTGGTTTCATCTATTCTATTCCTTTTAGACGAATTGCTGCTGCCTGACGATTGAATGCTGCCTCTGTATCGAGAAATACACTTTACCCTCTATATGGGATGATGTAGTCCATTCCTGCGGAGGCTTCTGCTCGAAACGCATACTCCCTGATATAGGTATAGTACTTTCAACCAATATACCATATCTAATATGTATGTCGAGCAGTTTTTCTAGAGTCTTCAGTACGAATGACATCAGACTTATCGGCCTTAGGGACTCTTTTCCTGCCAGAATTTTCCATTTTTAAATATAAAAGTTATCCCTATTCGGCTTTGGTGTGTACTTCACTTTCCTCACTACCTCAGTAGTCCATCTTGGGTCTAATCTAGTTAAGTATTAGGATAGTATCTGTATACCACCGTCATCCTGAATACTCTTATTACATTGCTACATGACCTAGTCTGCTCATTAGTGTTCCTTGGTTTTGTAGCAACCGTTTGTTGGAAGGGGGATAATAATGTCCCAGCAGCCATATTTGCCTGTCCCTTCATCTTTCTCTTTTGAGCTCCAGAAAGGCATTTTTTGCCACTTTGCTCAGAGTCTGTTCCTCCCGAAAAACCTTTTGCCTGAGTATTTGGAACAGACACAGAATCTAAAACTGGAGTCGCCTCCCTAACTGTTCCTCTTGTTTGTGTTTTGTTTTTAATTAACGCGTTGTTCATATTTGTTCTCAAAAGTTGGTATTAAATACTATCAGGCACGACAGTGCACCCTTGCGGTGCTAAGGCTATAATCCTCTCTGAGGCATCGCTTAAAGCAACACTTTTTTACTTATACTATGCATTCACTGTTACATTTACCGTTACCTCACAGTTATTTTGCGTATCGCCTTTGTTTTCTTTCATCTGTTAGCCATAGGAATGCAAGTTTGTTCACGACCAAGTCCCACCTACAAATTCTTAGCTAGCTTTTATCTGTCTGTGAATTTTGGATCTTTGATATTCAGTTTATCCACTTATCTATCTTACATACTTTATCAGTATTTACCACAGCTAGCTTTTTCCCGAAAAAGCATTCGCATTATATACAGATCCGAATCGCAGTTTTAATCGCTTTAAGTTCACACGTCCATCACATATTATGAATGATTGTTATTTATCTATAACTCTCAAACACGTGCTGTTCTAATAATAATATTGTAATTTTTATTTACTTTTATTGTATTTCTGAAAAATATCAATAAATATGAGA